GCGGCTACACTTCATGATCATATAGGTAATTCCTTTACTCGTGTACCTGCTTACACTTTATCAAAGGAATTATTAAGAAATAAATCCAGCCTCCCTACTACAGGTCCGAACACACACCTTGGGATGATTTTCATTGTGTGTTCCAATTCATTAAGTGTGAGCTTTCCGCATTGAATTCAACCTCTAACGTTGTATTAGAGGGGAATTAGGTGTCTCACCATTAAGGATTAAATGGACTTTAAACCCATCCCTATAACAGACTTGTGCACTAAGTCCCGAACCAAACTTTTGGTCAAGTGGTCCGCCAAGTTATGTTGCGATCTTACAAATTCCACCAAAATTACACCATTCATGATTAGTTCTCTAATCATACTATGTCTAACACCTAAGTGTCTAGACTTGCCATTATAAACATGACTATACGCCTTAGCCAAAGTGGCAGCACTATCACAATGGATAGAAATAGGTGCAATCGGATTCCTCCACAATGGAATCTCAAATAATAAATTTCTTAACCACTCCGTCTCTTTACCGGCGATAGCCAACGCAACACACTCAGATTCCATTGTTGAACTTGTGATACAAGTTTGCTTCTTGGATGCCCAAGAAATGGCACCTCCCCCAAGCAAAAATACCCAACCACTTGTAGAAGAATGATCCTCTACATTGGATATCCAACTTGCATCCGAATATTCTTCTAAAACCGAAGGATACTCAAAGTAACACAAACCATAATCCATGATTCCCTTTAAATACTTGAACACTCTCTTCATTGCTTGTCAATGTTGAGTACCAGGATTACTAGTATATCGGCTCAACCTACCCACGTCATAAGCAATATCCGGTCTAGTGCTTGTCATGGCATACATCAAACTACCAATAGCTTGAGAGTACTCAAGTTGTGAAACCGCCTTTCCTTTATTAGGCATCAACTTCACACTAGGATCCATGGGAGTACCAACGGGTGAACAATCACTATAATTAAACCTTTTGAGAATATTCTCAACATAGTGAGCTTGTGTCAAAGCAATCCCTTTGTTTAACCGTTTAATCCTTATACCAAGGATCACATCCGCCTCCCCCATGTCCTTCATGGAAAACCTTGATGATAACAACCTTTTGGTTTCATCAACCTGATTTTGGTCAGCTCCAAAAATCAGCATGTCATCAACATAGAGACATATGATCACACCCGCCCTTAAGACATCAAATCGGCTATAGACACACTTGTCCGATTAGTTTAAACTAAAACCATTGGACAAAATAACTTCATCAAACTTTTGATGCCATTGTTTGGGTGCTTGTTTCAGCTCATACAATGATTTGACAAGTTTACAAACCTTATGCTCATTTCCCAGCATAACAAAACCTTCCGGTTGTTTCATGTAAACTTCCTCATCAAGATCACCATTTAAAAATGCCGTCTTGACATCCATCTGATGTATAATCAGATTGTGTATAGCCGCCAAAGCAATTAACAACCTAATGGTTGTAATTCGAGCAACCGGCGCATACGTATCAAAATAGTCAATTCCGGGTTTTTGTCTAAAACCTTGAATGACCAACCGAGCCTTGAACCTGTCAACAGTTCCATCCACTTTCATCTTCTTTTTGAAGATCCATTTGCAACCTAAGGGTTTCGAACCCGGTGGCAAATCCGACAACACCCAAGCGTTGTTCTCCATAATTGATGACATTTCATCATCAATTGCCTCCTTCCAAAAGGAAACATCTCGGGACTCCATTGTCTCTTTAAAGGACTTTGGATCATCCTCAACTTGGTAACAATATGAATATTGTACCCCCACTTCATCCCTTGAACCTTCCACTAAATACAAGTGAAAATCGGGACCAAAGTCTTTCACGATGCGACCTCGTTTGCTTTTCCTTATTTGTGGTGCTTCGGGATTCAAAGCACCATCCAAACATTCTGGAACTTGCACCTCACTAGTTCTTGGAACTAGTTCCTTTGGTCTTTGAATTGATGAAAATCTCATCTCATCAAAGATCACATCCCGAGACTCAATCACGGTGTTAACAGCTACCGCATCATTAGGTTCTATTACATAAAACCTATAAGCCTTGGAATGTTCAACATACCCTATGAATATGCAATCAATTCCCCTTTCCCCCAAAGTTTTCCTTTTGGACTCGAGCAATTTTACAACCGCCCTACAACCCCAAATCCGAAAATATTTCAAATTCGCCGCTTTCTTGAACCAAAGCTCATATGGGGTTATCTTGTTTTTTTTATTTGGAACCCAATTTAGAACATAGCAGGCCGTGAGCATGGCCTCTCCCCAAAACTCTTCACTCAAACCCGAGTAGAAAAGCATGGAATTAACCATGTCCTTTAACACTCGATTTTTTCGTTCGGTCACACCATATTGTTGTGGTGTATACGGAGTCGTGGTCTCATGAAGACTCCAACAGATTGAAAATAATGAGGATCCATATATTCTCCTCCCGATCAGTCCTAAGACATTTAATCGGATTACCCAATTGCAATTCAACCTCAGTTTTATACACTTTAAATTTTTCTAAAGCTTCATCCTTAGTGTGTAATAAATACACATAACAAAATCGAATCGAATCCTCAATAAAAGTAACAACATACTTTTTATTGCCAAGGGAAGGAGTTGAGTGAAAGTCACATAGATCACTATGTACAAGATCCAAAATAGCCGAATTCCTATCAACATTAGGAAACGGTTGTTTTGTGATCTTAGTAAGCATGCAAGTCCTACACTTATCATCATTAATATCAAAAGCCAGAATTAAACCATCTTTAGACATTTCATGTATTTTTCTAAAATTAATGTGAGCTAATCTAGCATGCCAAATCATACAATCATTAATGGAAGATGCCACAAAAACAGAATTATCACTAGAAATTAATTTATTCACAACATTCAAACGAAACATGCGATTTGATAAATATCCAAAACCAACAAACACACCACCCTTGGACAGAATATATTTATCGGATTCAATCACTTGTTTGAACCCCAAATTATTCAACATACTTCCCGAAACAAGATTCTTTCGAACCTTCGGTACATACAAAACATCAAACAACGTAATTGTTTTTCCAGAAGTAAATTCTAAAACAACTACACCCTTTCCCAAGATAGGCACCATTGACTCGTCTCCCATGCATAAGAAGGAACTGACCTCCACCGGTTCTAGGTCTTCAATCCATTCTTTATCCTTACACACATGGCTCGTAGCCCCCGAGTCAATCCACCATGCACAGTCATCATCATGTACATAAAAAGATTCTGGAATGAGTGATACATAATTCTGGACATAATTATCAATGTTAGTCAGGAACTGACCTCCTTTCCGTGGAACCAGGTCCTTAGACCGTTCCTGTCCACTGCCACTCGTTCCAGCGCCATTCTTGTTCAATTTCACACGGCAATCACGCTTGACATGTCCAACCTTTTGACACCTCCAACAAACCAAACCTTTCGGTTTCTTGTTGGGTTTGTCATGGTCTTCATACTTGCGCTTTTTGTCTTTCCCCTTATCTTTCGGGTTAGATTTATTATCCTCAACCAAGTGAACATGAGCCAGTCTAAATTCAACTTCGCCCATAATTTGGTCATTCTCTTGCGCACGAAGAGACTCCTCAATGTGCAAGTGACTCCCAAGTTGAACCAATGACAATTCCTCATCTTGATGTTTTAAAGAACGTTTAAAATCCTTCCAAGAGGGTGGAAGTTTGTCAATTATACTCGACACGGCATAGGACTCATCAACTCCTATCTTGTGGAGTTTAAATTGACCAAGAACACGAAGAGCTCATTGTATTGTTCCATAACCGACCTTGAGTCAACCATTTTATAATTATTAAAATCACTCACCAAGAACTTCTTACTAGAAGCATCCTCGGCGATGTATTTTGACTCAAGAGAATTCCACAATTCCTTCGCACTCTCAACGCTTTGGTAAATATCAAATAATGCATCGGACATACCATTAAAAATGTGGCCTCTATGTAGTCATCGTTCTCCCACTTATTACGCCTCCTAGTTTGTTCCAAGGTTTCGTCCTCCATCACTTCCGGCATCGGAGTGCTCAACACGTACACAACCTTCAAAGTGGTGAGGAGGAAGTGCATCTTCTTTTTCCATCTACGGAAATCGTTCCTTTGAAACTTGTCCAATTTGTTGAACTTGAATGTCATCTCTTCCACGGTACTCATGATTATCACAAAGAAATATCAATTCGATTGTTGGGATAATCACGTAGGGGGTGATAATCGAGTACTTGGATTGCTTAAGGATCGTGTAAGTTCACTTTCCGAATTGATATTTCTCCCCTATGTCTGGGTTACAAGAAATTCAATCTAGGATAATCCTTAAGGACACTCTAGAACTTAGGCACAAGAACTAGAGCCAAACTAGTGAGTATATGGATTGATATGTTGGAGATATGTTGAATGCCAAAAATGATGAAGATATGTTGGATATCTTTCCTCATACTTCTTTGTACGAAATATGGTGATATATAACCATATTACACGTCCTGGGCAGTTGCAACACGTTCTGGAATACCTGTGACAATTTTTGAAAAAAATGCACGAAACTGTCCAACCGCTCTAGACCTCAGTCTAGAACTACAGAGTTGGTCTACTGAGTATTCTACCTCGAGTTCTACTGCCGTAGACACTTTGGAATAGAACTCGTTCTTAAATACAAGTGTGCACTCCACACCTCCTAGCTTGTATTAGAACACGGTTCTAATCCTCATTAGCACTCATGTCATTTCCAATTACACAAAACGGCCGGTGACACTAAAATCACCAACACTTGGAACATTGACCAGTCCCATTAAGATAAGTACTCCCTCTGTCCCCCAATTAAGTTACCATTTTCCTTTTTGAGCGGTCCCTAAATTAAGTTCACACTTCCTTACTTTCCTTATTTGGCAAATTACCTACATCAAAACAGTGTCAAACAGTGTTTGAACAGTGCACTCCACAGTAAAGTCAATTTATTTTCTTAATACGTGTGAAGTCAAACCGGGAATTTAATTGGGAGAAGGAGGGAGTATTAAAAAATACACAAAGCATAAGTTTAAGCAAACAACGGACCAATAGTTAAGTCCATCACCACTTTCATTCATTCTCTTCTCGGCCCCAGAGGTACTATGCGCTTTTTACATACAAAAAAAAGGAGGCCAATCCAAACATATTGCAGTTTTTTATGTATAGTTTACAACAAAAGGATGACAAGTAGTGACTTGTCTATTCTGTGATTGGATTCAAATGGAAAAGTGTTGAAAAAGTGCAAGTGGGAGTAGTAACCGAACAGTCAATCAGTCAGTCATTTGTTGCTACGTATGCCCACTTTTCCACTTGGGACGCACTTTTATAAATCCTGCACATAGGACGAAGGCAAGCTGTATCCCTCATAACTCTGCTTTGGATATATCATCTCGCATGTGCTCAACAAAAGAAGCATAAGCTTTGATTATTGACTTGTAAACACCAATGCCTTTCAAATACTCATCCTTGTTCAAAAACTGAAGCATAACAAAGTACACCACAAATTACGGAGTGCAATTGAAGAAAAACCAGAAAATAAAATACGCTAGTCATATTGAGTGGTTTATTTCTCTCATGTGAAGGCTAGTAGTTCCAGTAAAAATGAAATAAGGGTAGCCGGGTGGGTTTTGCCTAGACCAAGTCCAAACAAATTCATTAGAACTAGTGGTTCGACTGGTAAGAACTGACCCGATGGAGAGATAATATATCACGTAAACAGCCTAGGCATGTCATATGAAGAACAGCCCAGGCCTGACCTATTTAGGGCTTAGCCTCTAAAATGGAAGTTCCAGGCCCTGCACTATAAAGACATGATCAAGCCCAGACCTAAGTCAACCCTCGCTTCACTAGGCATTTTATGTTTTTTTTAACTTTCAAAACACGAATATTACTATCCGATCAAAAATACAGAAATAAGTACGCAAATGAAGAATGAATCCATTAATATGCATCATAGTTGTATTAAATAATTATTTCAAAGTGTAATACAACTAATTATTGCTCATTGAATAATTTTAGTTATTAACTTAATATCTGAGTCATTTTATGTTGCTAAACATGACCTGGTTTGAAATTAATGAAATGTTTATAATTTAACTCTTTTATAATTCTATATGTATACTACTACTACATGTTTATGTTTAATTTCATGATACATGATATATACATATTTACATTCATTTATTTATTACATATAGATAATACTTCATTATTAATTTTAAGGGAGGGCCAGGCCAATGACATCTGTAGTTTTCGAAGGGTTCTTTTTGTAAGATTTCTCACCCATGATTTAGTGATTTACCCCCAATATTTGATTTTGCACTCCACTTTGAGATGTTTAATCGAAGGATTTCAGAGGGGGGCGTTTTCATTAATATTAAACTTCACTCTGATATTTGATTTCTACTCTTCTTAATAAGCGTGTCAAGTGAAAGAGAGAGCCCTTTCGTGGGACAAAGGTAGTATATGGAAGCTAAAGTGCCAACCTCATTGTGGTCGTGAAGGAGAATAGGAGTATTTGCCATGGGAGAAAATCCAATAGCTGGAATGCCTCGATCTCTAAAGCAACGTGCATCTGTAGAGGCAGGAAATATTTCTGGCTTTCCCAGTTTCTCATTTGCATCCTTGACAGCTTCCTCTAATAAGGCCCACCAAACATTAGAACTGTCTGTAGCTGTGAGTGCTGGTTTCCCAAACTTATCATGTATGGATCCCTTCACCTTGAACTGTCAAAGTTACAACAATGATAAGAAGAATTGCAAATTTTGAAAGCCTTATTTTCTAAATCTGTGTGACACTGATGCATGACTTTTCACTAAGCGTATGGATAACAGAGTTCTAAGCAGTATAAGGAAATTGGGTTATAGCATCTATCAGTAAACCTAAGGCTCCCACTGGTTGAAACTTGAAACGGGATACACTGAAACAGGAGGGTGGTAACTGAATCACTATTCAATTCAAATTTTAATCCTACATAGCATACAAAGCACAATAAACCATATGTGCAAAGAAGGCCTACAACTTCTGAACTTCAAACATTACCGGTGCACACCCCAAGGGTGTGCACTGATAATGTTACCTAACGTCTACGTTACCTCAAAGGTCATGTTGCGTGAAGCAGGTGCCCATTCCTCAGAAATTCGTCTCTCCAATGAGGCTTGATCAGCAGTTGGTGGAACTCGAACATCAAAACCTGCTTCGGCTTCGGATGGCTGTAAGTTCATGACAAAGCCCTGAGAAGAAAAAAGAAATCACAAAATCAGCAATAAATGTATGGGTGCCTAGTATGTTGTGGACTTGGTTATCTTCAGAACCATCATGTGAAAGTGAAACCATGAACTAATGGTGTGGCAGTCATAAATCAGGCCAATTGGTGGATGCATTTTCCAGATAAAAAATCTAAAATCCCCATATACTCCGTATAATTGAGATCGAGCTCTGTGAGGGAAATAAAACAAAAGATCATTATATAACATCATAACTAAAGAGCAACTGCATAGGGAAACTGAACAAAGTCAGCCTCTTAAGACTTAGAATTGTTCTGCGAATCTGAGGAAACAGTACATGAAACTTGAACAGGATTTACATTCTACATGGATCCATTAAAGATTACGTATACTGCAACACCTGACAATCACCCAGTAGATGAGCAGATACATGAAAGTATATAAGACACCAAAATAAACAGAGGATGGCTAAGTAAGTTTAAAAAATCCGGGCAGCTTCCTGCTGACGCAAAGGCCAGTGAGGACTTACAGTGGGGGAAGGAGTGCCAGTTTTCAAAAACACCATATTGACAGAAATGACCTCTCCTTCAGCCTTCATGCCAGCCTTGACCAAGTCAAACTGAGAAGCCCTGAACCTCCTTATGCTTTCAATACTCTTAAAAAGATTCTCCATAGCAGTATTGTCATAGAGCTTGGCACCGTGTCCAGGAGCACCAACTGCCTTGATAACCAGCCACCAAGAGGACCTCTCACCATAGAAGACGCGGTAGTTATCGGTGGGAGAAGCCAATCCCTCGTCCAGCACAACCCCAACGTTCATCTCCTGAAAGATATCGGAATTTACAAATTTCTCGGCACCGTCGTGGCCACCAATTTCCTCATCAGGGACAAAGGAAAGGTAGACACTGCGGGTTGGCCTGAACCCAGAGGCCTTGAGGCTGCGAATAGCTTCCAGGTACTGTAGACCAACGCACTTCATGTCCTGGGAGCCCCTGGCGTAGATATTTCCGGTGGCGAGATCGAGTTGGGCGCCAAAAGGATGGAAGGACCATTTGTGAGGCTCGGAAGGGACAACGTCAGTGTGGGAATTGAGAAGGACAGAGGGGATGCTCGGGTCCTTCCCAGGCCATTTGAGGAGGACAACGGGCTTTCCCTTGACGAATTCGATGGTCTGAGATTCGAGGGACAGGGAGTTGGCCTGGGAGATGATGAAATCCGCCGCTTCTCTGTAGCGCGGATTCGGTTGGGCGGTGTCGATTCGGAGGTACTCCTGGAATCTCGATATGATTTCAGCTTCCGCACCCGGTGAATATCCACTAGCTGCCACCGTGCAGATCGGCGAAAGCACCAAGAGCAGATGGAGAAAGTAAAATTGAGCAAAATCATTTGGACGGAGGGGAAGACGACACTGACAATGCTTTCCATGAGTCATCTGGTTCCCTGCACTGGATGACTATACTCTGTGAGTAAGAATTCTGCAATTAAAGGCCACCGATGGCGGATCCATTATACTTCCAAAAAATACCTATATATTTTATATTATATTTTATTTAAAATTTACTTATAACGATATATATAACATAAAAACAAATACTCCGTATGTAACACAAAGACCGGAGCAGAGCAACGGAGGAGAGGTTTTAAAAAATTTCCCCCTTTTTTGATTTATTATTGTAAAAGATCACAACTACATCATTTTGCCTTTTTTAAAAACCCCCAACTTTACACTTTACATAATTAATTTAATTATTAAAATTTCTATTATGATTTTCCGTTATTAAGTGACGAATTGAATAAAATAATTGGTGAATATGAAATTAATTTCGCTGACAATACACATGATCAACATGTTTATTTTGAATCTTTAGAAGCTTATCCTCATTTGAGAAAAAAAATTGTTGATTTGCATCCTAATGTTCAAGACGAGGTGCGCTGTAGTAGGGACTATGAAATGTTGTACTACTTTAATATTTGGAATTTTATCAATTCAAAACTTGAAAGGTAGATAAATTATCAATTCGAGATCTGAAAGATGAAATTTATAGATATAAGACTGAAATGATGAAAATTGTCAATTTAGGACTTGAATGATTGAAGACTATCAATCTCGGACCTATATTGTCATGAATTTTTATTATTTTTATGTTAAAATTTTTAAATATTATTTAGTTTTTTTAAACTAATAAACTTTTGTGGAAAAAGGTTTATCAAAAATTAGCAAAGGAATTAATAAAAAATAAATAAATCAAAATCTATGAAATCTTAGATCCTAGATTGATAATTTTCTTCTTTCGGGTCCTATATTAATACATTTCATCTCTCGGGTACCGAATTTATAATTTATCTATCTTTAAGGTCATGAATTGATAAAATTTCTTAATATAAATAGATGTACATTAACTATGAAATGTTATGCTACTTTAATATTATTGAAAGAATGGCATAAATGTTACTTGTACACTTCTACTAGACAAAAATATGACTCATTTTTATTTTTCCAAAAATATCACTTAAGTCAACTTTTCAGCCTTTCCGTCTCTCTTTCAATTGGACATCAGTGAAAGCTCCCGTCTCCTCTCAATCGGACATCTGCGAATGTGGACCATCTACCAGCCATCAGCTATTGCAGCGAAGGAGACGACCAACGGCGGACACTGGACATCTGGAGATGGAAGCGGTGACACTGACGGCCATCGCTAAAGCATATCTTCTCGCGACGAAGCAACTGATGCCATCAGATCTGTTCAGCGCCACTAATCTGTTAATCGATCTTCGATCTTCTTCAGCCATATCTGTTTCAGTGCGACCCTCAAGGTGGGCGGGCGATGCTGGCTAGGATTTATGGGGATGCGGTTATGGTGAAGGGCAGGGGAGGGTTCCGAATTACGACAGGGCCGGGCAGGGAGGGTGTCGGGAAAAGGTCTGGCGGCTTGAGGGCGGTGTGTTGTGGAGGGATGCGGCAGCTGAAGGGGCTGGGGCAGGTTTTGGTGGTGGGATGTGGATTTACAGCAATGGGGTGTTGGGGTACGGCCGTGGCGACTGGCGGTCGACAGCCGACGGCGATGGTGAGTCACATTAGCGGCAGGGCGGTGGTTTTACGGCGGCAGTAACATCTATGGCGGTGCCACTTTAACGGTATCACTATGGCCGGCAGCGGCAGTGACGGTGGCGGCAGTGACATGAAGTTGGGCAGTAATATAAATATTTAGCAGTGACATAAATCTTAGTCACATTTTTGTCCAAATTGAAATATGGTCACATTTTTGGAAGTCAGCTTTGTATTAGTTGTTGGAGGAAATTGGCCGGATAAACCTGCAAAAAAGCGTTAGAAAAATAATATAGCTCGAGTCGCGTAAACGCTGTCCTCAAGAAAGTATTTCCGACTAGCGAAAACCTTTCCCCAAGATAAAACGAGCTCTTCGGCGTAGGCCGGTAATAGAACAACGAGAGTAGAATAAAATTATTAATCCAGCAGAGTGAAAATATTAGGGGGTGTTTAACTCCAAAATTATATGTATATATTAGCTAGTAGGCTGATACTCAATCAAAAATCACATCTCTTCTTAGCCGCATACAAGTGTCTATCTATACACATTTACGAGCCAATGTGATTATATAGTGGCCAATGTTAAACCCTAGCTTCCAGCCAAAGTGTAATATACAAACTTTGAACCGTTGCTTCTAGGATTGGGTCCGAAAAATCGAAAACCGAATCAAATCATACCGAATCGTAGCCAAATAAAACTGAACCGCTAACAAACCGAAACCGAATGTAAAAAACCGAACTGAACCGTAGTTGTTTGGTTCGGTTTTGGTTTTTACCCTTCAAAACCGAACCGAACCGAACAAACCGAACTAGTTAAAATATACGGAGTAAAATTTATTTGTCCATTGTTAAGCATTAATCCTAACTAATCCTAATATCATTAATAGTTTTTGGTTTTCTTGTGCTAGAGAAATAATGTTTGTTATGTTTAGTTTAGTTTGTGAATTCATTTACACATTCATTGCACGTAATAATGCAGCTATACTGATAATATGTTTTTACTTGTTATTAGTATTAATTAACTTTTATTTTTATTTAACTTAAAGAATTCATATTGATGAAACAATAAATATTTATCTCAACTATATCACATATAACGTATATACTCATGAACTTTTTTTGAACTAGTCACAAACAATGTAAATTAATAATATATACTTTTCTCTCTCTCTCGCATACTCATATAATTCATGACATATTTATTTATTTTCATTTTTATTTTATTTGTTGTAGTGTGCTTGCATTCTTTATGTAATATATGTTTGATCCCTCAAAGTATTATATCAATTTTAAATCAAATGATAATTTTTTGGTAAAAACCCGAAAAAACCGAAACCGAATCGAAACAAACCAAACCAATTAAACCGTGGTTCCAAGTTTTGGAGTGTAGAACCGAATCGAAACCGAACCGAACTTTTTACTTTGATTCTATATTTGGTTTTAGGTCAAAACCGAACCGCAAGAACCGAACCCACCCCTAATTGCTTCCAGCTAAGAAAAATGTTTGTATATCAATGTTTGATATAACTCCATAGCAACGTTCATATTAGTATAAGAGATTTAATGTGTGCAGTGAATTTAAAATTCAATATTAAACAATGAGTTTAATAATTAATAATTTTGCAAGATACATGTTTGATTAAATTAAGTTATCAAAATAATTAAAATTGAGAAAACTTTTTTCATTTGAAATACTCCTATTTTTCCAACAATCCCCCACATATTTCAAATGAATGGTTTTAGGTTTTTAAAACAGTTTATAAAATTTCCGCTGGATTAATGGAATGAGACTTTAAGTTTGGTGTCCGTAGACTATGAACCAAATCGAGACGATTAAGTCTTAATAAACCGAGCTTTTGGTGAAACATATAGTTTCTATGAACCAACAAGCTACTATTGGTAAATCAGGGTCTTAACGGTCATGTCCCTCCCCGCACAATTTCTCGTTATTACGCCGTTGTGCGCCGTAAGGCCATGCGCGTGCTTGGTTTTCATGAGTGCTCTAGAAGTTTTGTCATGCTTCATAGAGGCGGCCCCACCTCACACTCATATAGGTGACATCATCAGGTGTGTACCGCTTTTGCACACCACCCTAAAATTAAGGGCTCTGATAATCATTAAGAGCTTTTAGCTCACCCTCTCAAAGAATGCGGTTTCTAGCCTATATCTCACATCATGAAAATGAGCAATTTTAGTTAGGCTAGCAGAACTAAATGGAAGACTTGTTATTACCCATATGAACTTGCTTCATGGGATCTCCAATCACACAAGTTGGGTTCCCATCCCCATTTGTTTCAAAGTGACACTAGTCCCATTTCCTTCGATGTTTCGGTTATCATTTTCATCCTAGGGATTTTGTCAAAGGAGTAGCTAATTCCTTCCGACTTCACAAAATTAATGAAAGTAATTCCATTCTCAAACATCATTTCACCACTTTTAAGGGTGAATGGATATCCACTATTTTAATTTATTTCATGCGAGTCGACTCAGATGTCGTCGTTGTATCCCGATAATACAACGGATAATTCTCAATAAGAAATAACATCGATGTGACCCCTTAGTACATCGGATAATTCTCAATAAAATATATAACATCATTGTATCATTATAGTACAATGGATAATTCTCATATAACATCATTGTACCGCTCTAGGACAATGGATATTTCTCAATTAAACATTTCATCGTTGTATCAATATATTACAACGATTAATCTCAATCAGATATACCATAATTAATGGTACCGCCTCAACGCAGTCCAATGATCCCTACTTGGGTCATGAGTATATCGGCTCAATCTTCCGACACCACAAATTATGTCGGGCCTAATAAAAATTTATAAAATGTAATAAACATCCAATAATTTGGGAATACTCATATTGAGCCTCAGGATCACTCCTAATTTTATTTTATTTTTCAAGTGCATATGAGAGTCACAAGGGATACTCATGGGTGTGACATTAAAATGTCCAACCTCTTTACAAGTTTATCAACATAATGCTCTTGAGATAGTATAACACCATCATCCTTCCTCGTGACTTTCATATATACCCAAAATCATTTTTGTTACCTCGAAGTCTTTCACACAAAAAAAATTAACATATCAACCACATATACAAGCAAATAATAATGCACACACCATTTTTACATTTAGTGTATACACACTCTGTGTTCCTGACCACTAACCACATGACTTTCCGGTTGCACCATATAAATTTCTTCTTCCTCTAGTTCACCATTTAAAACGATATTTTAACATCCATTTGATGAAAAAATTTGTAAGTAAGGTCAATTTCAATTGTATGTATGGCCTCAAGCCAAAATGTTTTTTTTTTCATTTTGAAGAAGTAGCTTGTAGATAAGTAAAAGATTAATCATTAATAAGATATGTATAAAAATCATTTCCAAAGGATTTCTCTATCATTGGCCTCTTACTTCTTCTCAAGGGAGAAAGTTCATCATTAAAAGAATAATTTTCTTTTAATGGATCACTATCACTAGAGGGTTCATCATTAAAGGTTTTATTTCCTTGTAATGGATCACAATCACTATATGGCGCAACGGTCTTGTGTTCAATTTTCAAAAGAAACACATTTTTCAAAAAATAAGCATTTTTGTTTCAACAACGTATAAACAAATAATCACACATGCATCATTCAGTGTGTACACATTCTCCAAAAATGATCACATTAACATCAATAATATAGCATAACGTTTTGCACATTAGCACACTATTTCTTCATTTAAGGAAATCATATATATGCTCCACTATTTCAATTTATGCAAAAGTAGCCAAGAGTTATAAAGCTCAATTTCACTCAACGAGATAGGCAATATAAATATAGCTAAGCACCCCCACAATTTTAAAGATTTAAAAACTGGTGCATAGCCCTTCTAGAATTTATAGAGAGATAATTAATATCTCAACCTTTATTTGTACACAATGATTTTATAAAAAAATGCGCCTTTTAAATTTA